GTTCTGGAGAAAGGTAAGTGGTGTAAGGGGTTTTAACCCCTTCAGCCCAGCGGAAGGAAGCCCTGAGGGTTGGGGGGACCTAATGACCCTATAGTGCCAGGAAAACGAGTTTGTTTTCCTGGCACTATAGTGCTCCTTTAAGAACAAGCATGGATATGAGTCCTTTGTGTTTGTTTTCTTTAAAGTCAAGTAGTTTACTCAAGTAAAATTGTTAATAGCTCATGCCCTTCCTTAATGGGTTCTTAACTTTTTGTCTGTTGTAACCCAACGCCGTTATCATGTTAGTCACTGTTTCATAGCTGCGACGATGGTGAAGTACCTGCTTAAACGCACTAAGTGTTCTATACTCTGCTCACCCTCTTGTGATTCCTGTGATTCAAAAAGTTGTTTCAGTGGAGTTAAAAGGATTTTGTTTTTTAAATTGGAGTAAATATTTTCAATTCCTTTACCATAATCACTAGATTGGGACTGGCCTTGGCTGTATCTATCGGTGTATTTTTTTATACATATATATAAATATACACAATATGAACTTTTCTAACAATCTACATTTGTCATAAATGTTCAATTCACTAAACGATGTGAATTAAGTTTAAAATCAACTTACAACATAGTTGGGACAGAAAAACATATGGTTGACATTGACTATTATTGGCATCAAAAGTCCTTCTACCATAAGTCGTTATTTATTGAACACACCCCTGGTCTGTATTGTAAAGTAGCTTCAGTCTAATTCCAGCTAAATCGAGAGAGCTCCTCTCATGCTTAATCAAATCTTTTAACTTAAAATATTGCACTATGTGTGTTTGAAATAAGTTCCTGTCCCATAGATTAGTTGATGGACAAGAGATCAGGTGAACAGACAGACAACATGTAGTTAGTACCAGGAGTAGAACTGAAATGCCAGCCTACCAGCATATATTGGTAACGTCTATACATATTTAAACATCTGAGATATATTTCACTCACTATATATGCACTTACAAATATTATCATTTTATCTTTTGCTTTCAGTAAGTCACTTTTCAAAAAAATATTTTTTTTTTACAACACATAAAACAAGCCCATGAAATTACTAATGTAAAAAAAATAAAAAAAGTGTTTGTTTCTTGGGATAACTTTCTCACAAGAGTATAGTCAAACTAATATTTTGCCCATGGCAGGTTTTCTGTTTTTGATTTTAGAATAAAATTTATCAGATCACAAAAAATATCCTGAAGGACAAGACTGTTGTTTTCTTGTTTCGTAATTTGATATTTTGCATTCACCTTTCGCATACACAAGAGCTCAGAACAAGCTCATCTAAAGTACGCCAGAGTACTTCACTCACAGGAAGGAACGCGAGGAACAGAATTTTATGGCACCATTAAAATCTTAGGTTAATGTCGATTTTACCTTTTCATAAAAGAGCTCATCTTTAAACATTTTAAAAAAAGAAACCAATGTGGCGTTTGTATGGATTTACCAGTTGGAATGTAGCAGCAGGAGACTTCCATTCTTGAACATGAATGGAGGATACTCTACATTCTAATCCTCATAAATGCCCCCCAGGCTAGCCACACGTGGCTACTGACACTTTTTCATGCTTCCATATAACCACCAGGAAATATCACTCTGGCAAATTATTATATTTTATCACTGTGGGCTTCATGATTTGCCTGTGGTGTAATGGTAATCATACAAAAAATAAATAAATAAATCCTTTAAAAAAAACATTTTTATTATTATTTTATTATTTATATAGTGCCATCAGATTCCGTAGCGCTGTACAATGGGTGGACTAACAGACATATAATTGTAACCAGACAACTGGACTTACAGGAACAGAGAGGTGGAGGGCCCTGCTCAATGAGCTTACATTCTAGAGGGAGTGGGGTATGGTGACACAAAGGGTAAAAGTAGGGGTACGAAGTAGGTTGTTAGAAAGTTAGAAAAGTATTCACTGAGGGCTTAGTAGGTAATTTTGACAGTTGCAGGAGAGGAGTCATGTGGGTAGGGGGCTAAAAACCTGCTAATAGTTCCCTGAATGATCAATTTTCTCAAAGTATGTTAGAATCTATACATATACCCAAAGGTCAGGAGAATCTGGTAATACAGCTTGGGATTTGAAGAGTAAATCCAAGCATTGTGTCTTTGATAACTATAGCCTTCTCATTTTTAGCAGGCCTGAAGACAAAACAATTTTAAGGATGTGTCACAAGTGATATAAATAATATATAGAATCTGAAGAATATACATTTCCCATGTTGGTTTTAATTCCTCTTTTTATTATAGAAATTGAATATTATATGTTAATATGTATTACACTGTTAAGATCTAATTGGTTTTGTTTGTTTTTTACTCAATTCTTATACAAATTCTTATACATTTGTAAGAATCAGTCTGGCGATATTACAGCTATCCAGACATTAAGATTAGGGTCCAGTTTCATGATAAGGTAATGTGTAAGTAATTGCTTTTTTATTTATATTGGTAGTTATATTTTTAGTTTGACTACTGAATGATAGTAAATAATTAATATATAACCTGACCAATACGTAACAGCGTGAGTAATAATTAGCTCCATAGGTGAATGTGCTCGATTGCCGAGTAGTTAGGTTTTGTTTAACTCCTTGATAATATTAGGGAAATCCATGATGACATTGTAAGCAGAATACAGAACAATGGTTTGCAGTATCTGTGTCAAACGTGTCCAAAGCATGGCTCTCCAATTGGGATTTTATTGGCAGTCTATGTGTTGATGGCAGAGTATTAAAAGGGACCTGTCACATCTCTGGAACTGACAAAGTTGAACAAAACAATGAATAAAAACGCCTATAACTTGTGTTAACTTTTTTTTCATGAGGCGCACAGTTTTCGTTTATATCATTATTATTAAAGATTTTGCAAATTACATCATAATAAAGTTTAGTAAAGCCATGGTAAGTACTACATATAAGGAGGAGAAAAGGTAAAGTTGTTACATCTCTCCTCTTCTCTGAATGCTTTCTCTGTCCTGACTTCCTGGTGCGAAGGACAGAGCTTATAAGAATGATTGACAGACAGATAAGATGGAAGTGCCCAACTGCAGAATAAAGAGGGAAACATATTAAGCAAACATAGATTAACATTTGGACCCTATCGGGTCTTTATAGAGATGACAAATAATTTGAGTGAAGCATATTTTAAACTCATGAATTTCAATAAGGAGTGTGCTTATTACTCACACGTGAAACAAAACAGCAAGTCCAATACACCGATACACCGATCAGTGTTCTCGATTCCGTGTGCAAACATGATGATGTCAAGCGTTAGGTCCCAGGACGTCCCTCAAGAGTTTGCGTCCCATTGCCATAGTGTTACTGTAGATAGTGAAATATTAAGTGTTAATTGTTAAATGTTAAGGGGTATGAGTTAAAAACAAACAATGAGTGTATGAGATAGTACAAATAGAAAGTATATAAACTTGCATAAGAGTTGATCAGTTGATCAGTTGAAGAAATATGGCAGACCTAGCCAATCCCCAACGGATTATGAGAAAGTTTTACAGGAAAACTAATCATAATGTGAAACCACCTAAAAAATGTGAATTAAATAAGTAAAATTTGTCAGGAGTAAGGTGATACAACATCACTAAATAAGTGAACATGCTATAAAAGCAAAAAACAATATTTATACATGAAAAACATGATGGCCTATTAAACGTCTGGCTGTAACAAAACTAATGGACACATGATGTTTATCTAAATAACTCAATATCATTATATGTATAATGGACGTGCCGATTAACGTGTCCACATGTGACATACCCTGAGCACTTCCAACAACCTTTTATTGTGATGATTTACTGTGTGTCCTACCTAGGATATCCCTTTTGTTTGTATTCCTTTTATATGCAATGTGAAAATATGGGATTCAATGTATTATCACAAGCTAATAAATCCCATCTCCTCCTAATAGCTTGTGCAATTCTGCCACTTGCTAAATGGTATGTCAATGGTATAGTAATTTGTCGTCTCTTTCAATTGTCACTGATTTTTTTTGTCCTGAAAAATTCTTTAAGCTCTCTGCAAAGAATGATGTAGAGTAGCTTTGTTCTATCTACGTTCAAGAGAGGAATATTTAATGGATTCAGTTTGTTGGGAATCAGAATATTTCTCTTATTCATAAAAATTGTGAAATGGGTAAAATATATTTTTTTGGGTGCAGGATGAAAACTGTTCACATGTAACAAAGTGTTTTGAGTACGGTATATTTCAAAATTCTGAAATAGTATTTTCTCTTCATCATAAGTGAGGCTTCATCGAATAAAGGAATCTTCACTGTTCAATGTTTCAGCCATATTGGCCAATTCCATTCCTGAACCTACTCAAATGATGAAGATGTCATCAACAAACATGTGATAGGTTAAGAGATGAGTACCATATTTAGATAGAACTTTTCATACGTGAGCATGAAACAATTAGCAAAAGCTGGAGCCATGGCCGATCACATGGTAGTCTAGACTGGCTGTATGTAAAAAGCTTTTGTGTGTGGTGTGTGTGTGTGTGTGTGTGAGACTGTCTGCCTGTAGCTGTGTGCGTGTTACTGTCTGTGGGACTGTCTCCATGCAACTGTTTGTGTGTGACTGTCTGCCTTTAACTGTGTGTTTGTCTGTGTGAGAGTGACAATGTGTCTGGGACTGTGTGCATGTGGCTGTATTTGACAGTATATGTGTATAACTGTGTACATCTGACTGTGTCTGACTGTGTTCGCCCTGCAGTGAGCCGGCATATAACACCATCCAGGCAAGGGACCTGTGCAGGAAGAGCACAGAGATCCCAGGAGCAACCACTGACCATCAGGAACTGAGGATTCACTCCAGCCCTTCCAGAGAAAGGTAGGGAGGCTGGGTGGACCTCTTAATTATTAAATTTGTGTATGTATGTGATGTTTGTGTGTGCATATATAATTATGTGTGTATGTGATTGTATGTGTGTGGGTCTGTGATTGTGTTTGTGTATGTCTGTGTTTATTTGTGTGATCGTGTGTGTATCTCTGTAGTTGTGTGTGTGTATATATAAATAAATATATATATATATATATATATATATACATACATACATACATACACACATCCACAGATATACACACACAGTGTATATGTGTGTATATAAATGTGTATGTGTTTAGTAGATAGCTCCCTTATTTAGTGTCCTTCAATATTGCAATCCCAAATAAGGATAACAAATAAGGGAGTTATCTATGAAACAACTGAAATTAAGAAAAGGGCTTTTTTTTAAATTTTGATATTATAGCTGTTTAGTTGATAATTCCCTAAATTGGTGTCCTTATGTGAGATTTACATATTTAAAGATACCAAATTAGGGTGCTGTTTAGCAGTTAGCTCCCTTATTTTGTGTCCTTAAATATGGCAATCCCATATAAGGATAGCAAAAAGGGGAGTTATCTGATAAACAAAGATCGAAGTTAAGAGGTGTCAGCCAGCCCACAACAAGAAATCTGGGTGGCTAATGTCAATTATTTACAAATTTGTTGACTGATGCCAACGTGCACTGCATGCTGGCATCAGGCAGCTAATGGCAGAACATTACCCCATCCCCTCGTGAAACGTTTTAGTGTCTCCCTAGATTGAACTGTGGCATCTTATGTGCCCACCCCCTATATATAGTTCCTAGAGTCGCCACTGTGTGTCTGTGTATCTGTGTGTGGCTGTGTGTCTATGTATCTGCATGTGTGTCAGTGTGTATTTATGTGTGTGTAAATGTATATGTGCATACATCTCATAATCTCGCCAACACTACATACAAATACACCACTGCATTTCAACGTCAAAATTACCTACAAATTCCACCATTATATATAACCACACCACTGCATTCAAAACCACACGAAACACAAATGCATGCTTACATTCAAATGCCAACACCACATGCAGACACACACCCTACATTCACTCAAACATACGCCATACAAAAACATGCTTACATTCAAAAGCATTTAACAATTGTGGTTGTTTTTTACATTTTAAAGATGGGGGGGGCATTACAAAAATAGGACCTGCCCCGGGTGCCAAATGCTCTAGGTACCCCCCTGACTGGTTGTACTGGTCCCTGCCGTGCTAAGAATGAACCTGTCTCTGGAGAGACACAAATTCCTTTGTAAAGGGAGTAGTTGGAGGCAGCGCAGAAAGAGGTGTCAATACCTGCCTGAGAGAGGCAGAATAGGCAAAGGTAGAGGCGAAGGAAGGAGGGAGCTGCAGCCTGGTCTGGTGGAAGAGGTCCTCAGAGAAGGTAGCAAGTGCTTACATTGAAAGGCCCTGCAGGGACAAATTATACACACGAGAATAACTACATTAATCTGTAGGTATTTTGGTGACTATAGTGTCCCTTATCTAGTGCAGACATGCTTCTTTTTAATTGCTTGTTTTTTAATCTCCTTAAAATAATTTATTTATTATTCTACATACCGTTGCTTTAGGATTTCCTCTCTCAAGCAGTAAATCAATCACATTTACTCGGTATACCCCTAAGCAGAATGTGTTTATATGTGTTGTTCTACTCCATTCATGTATCTCAGAGGTTTTAATTAAAGTATAGGAGGTCACCTATATTAACCCCCTAAGGACACATGACGGACATATTCTGTCATGATTCCCTTTTATTCCAGAAGTTCAGTGGGGGAAGGGGAAATGTGGCTGTCTGGTGCCACCATTGGATTTCTGGTGCCAGCATGTTGTTTGTGCTGGCATCACGACACTTTAGCACAGAATTTAAATTAGCCAGCCCGTAACTCTAAGACAACCTCTTTAGGTAAAGAATTTCACATCTTTCTGATTCTTACTGTTAAGTATCCTTCCATCATCTGTAAGGGAAAACACCCTTTCTTCAAGACCTATTTGAATCATATCACATAGTGCTATCATATCCCCACTGAGGCACCTTTCTTTTCTAAATAAAATATATGCAGTTTCTCAAGCTTTTCTTCATAACTAATGTTTTCCATTCCCCTTATTTATTTTCTAGTTTAGCCTATCTAACTGCCCATTTGCAAGCCTTTTTCCCTGCTTATATTTGTTATGGGATCCTATTGACGCCTATTGACTGATTTAAATGTTTTGAATGCCATTTTCCTATCATTTATTATTTGACTCACCCTTTTATTACGGCACATTAGCTTTCATCTCCTTTTTTATGTTTGTTTCCATATAGTATGTATTGAGAAATGTACTTTGCAGAACTTGTTTAGACCCTCCATTTATCCTCTGTGCTTCACCACTGGATAGTTCCTGCCATGTTATAAACCCTTATTTTATCAAAATTAGCCTTTTAAAATGATACCATATTATGGTCACTATTTCCTGAGTGCTCCCTAACTTGAATGTTTGAAAATAGGTCAACATTATGAGTTAGACACTAAACACTAGACACTAAGAATTGTAGGGATCTGAAATCCAATTTACAATATTTAGCCAAAATCTGCTTATTTGGAATAATTCTCCAACATGGCTGCAGTCACAGCTCGTGTAATTTAGCCTACATTTAGTAAATTAGTTTTCCATTTCTTACCATTTAATGTTTAGTGACTTAACCCCTGTGTGGTCCTTATCTGCTTTATTTTTGATATATAAAATTGTATATTTTGTTAGTGCAATGTTTTATAGACACACTTTATGTTGTTCACTGTTGCATTCACAATGATTGGATGTATTTATTCAGGAGAAAATTATTATTACTATTAATCTATATAAAATAGATTAGATTATGTCAAAGGGGTTCACACGCTAAATAATAAATTGCAGTACATTGACAAGGGGATTGCAAATTGAAGTATACAAATAGATATACTGTAAATTTCTCCGATTCAGCATTTTACTCTAACTGGTGTTCATAATATACTACATTTTACCTTTAATATAATTAATCTGGTTACTATAGGAGTGTGTAAGGCAATACAATTACCTATAATTCAGTTATCTCTTATCACAAATCTAATAATGAGCACATTCACTAAATATAATTAATTGGCTTGCTCGGCCTTTGGGTACAATCATCGGACTTGCAGATAAAGGGCAAGACAGTTATTAAACGGTGTAACTATATGGAAGAGGAAAATACCCAGAAGTAGTCAGGATAACGATGGTGATAGCTTATTGTACTAAATCCCCGGAATATCTACATTTTCCTGATACATATGTTAGGGTACATGTAGTTATGTTGGGTGTCAGTTTAGTTTTTTTTTATTCTTTTTTTTTCGTTTGTTTGTTTTCGTTTTGCTCTGTTGCACCCGTTCATTCTTTATCTTCCAATCCGGATTGCTTTTGTTTGTTACAAAAACACTGTTGAAAATGAATCCATGATTTAGTCTCATCACGGGTGTTGTAAATCAGCTGTTTACAGAAATATGACAAGTTGCTGCAACCTTGAAGAATGGGGTTGCCAACTTTGCCCTCCCAATTTTTTTTTTAAACTACAACCACCTTGATGCACTGCCTGTCTGTGACATTCAAAGAATATTCGGTGGTATAGTCCATCAACAATTGCAAAGGTCCAGTTCAACAGACCTGGTTTGGTATGTAATGTTTATAGTGGAGTAACTTATGGGGTTAATTCACTTAAAACAAAACTGTAGTATTTTGAAAATCAGAATGCAAAATATAGACTGAAAGCTGTGACTGAGATTGTTTTCAAAATAAACTATTTCTGACAAAATTTAGCAATTTGTGTTTTTACAAATAAGTATTAAGTAGATTTGCACTGCGGAACAATTTGGTTCAGCCAAATAACTTTTTAAAAAGATGTAATTTAGTTTGAGACCTCTGACACTTATTTGACAGTTTGGCTCATGGCCCAATTAGTGTGCTTCAAAATATATACATAATATAAATATTATATAAAAATTATATAAATGTTATGTATTTATTTTCAGCACACTGATAGGAGCATTTTCCTGCCATTTGGTTCACAGCTCAAATTAGAAAAAGTAACCAATAGAGGGAAAATGAAAAGGAGCAGTAAATAAAATTTATATTTATATATAAATATTTATTGAATATATAAATATGGTTTTTTTTTTATGCTTAAAGGAACACATAGGTTTAGGAACACAAACATGTATTCATGACCCTATAGTGTTATATACATCATCTAACCCTTCCCCACACCCCTTGCCTCCTAAATATAGTAACATTTTACCTTTATTCCAGTCTGCTGGTGCTGGCTCTGCCCTTTACCTGCCTCCTTGGCTGACGTAATAAGAAAGCATAGGATTGACTAAGATTGCCCTGGAGGCGTGCCAGAGGGAGGGGCCAAATGCTGCCCTTTCCAGTCAGAATCTCCACATAGAGATGTATTAAATCAAAGCATGCCTATGAGGATAGTTCTGTGTCTCCCCGCAGAGGGTGGAAACACTGAATGTCAGTCACAGTGTGCAGCACTGCCCCAGGAAGAACCTCTAGGAGTCATCTGAGGAGTGGCCAGTGAAGTTATCACTAGGCTGTAATGTAAACACTGCATTTTCTCTGAAAAGACAGTGTTTACAGCAAAAAGTCTGAAGGTAACGATTCTACTCAATAAGCTGTAGTTGTTCTGGTGACTATAGTGTCCCTTTAAGCAAGCGAACATGCTCGTTCGTCACACTAGTTATTTACTCTAATCTTATGGCGCTTCAGAGAAACAGAATTCGGCCAACCAGCCTAGATTACGAAACCAAAAGCACAAGTCTAGTATTTAGCGAATAAACCACTATGGGTGCAGCCTTCACATTTTTTGTAAAACCATTTAAGGTCACAAAAGTCAACTATGCTTTGAGTTTGGCTACTGTGCCCTTAAATTTGAAGTTCACTTTCAAGTTTCACCTTACTAAATAAACCCTCCATCCTCTTACCATCATAACCACTTATTGACGCTGTACCCATAGTGACTTGGCAACATAACACTTCAATTAGCTGTATAGTGCTTTGGATGTCCCTTTAATGAACTATAATCCTTACCTTTCCTCCTCAGTCCTTCATTCCTATATTCTAAAGCAGCTGACATTAAAACAAATAACAAATCTTAGATTTTGTTGTAATATATAATAATATATATTAAACCTATCTCCGGGTCTCAGGATACATATGTCCAGGTAAATGTTACAAT